ATTGGAATCGGTGAGATTATGACCTTAAAGTAAATCTTGTGATTTATATCCCACGGATTTATATTCTCCGATGTTGCTTCTAGCTTGTTTCTTTGCATGCTCTCATGTGTATTTCACGTGTTGTGTTCAGGTACGTCCACTGTATATGTTCGTACCTTTAAATACCCTTAAAGGTCTCAATAAAGTGTTGCATACATTTGAAAGGATTATTATGGATGAAGGAAATGAGAGCTGGCTCCAGAGGAACCCTCCCTCCATCCTTTCTCCTTTTATTAACACAAGCAACTCTATCCATCAATGGAGAATATACTTTTACTGGATAAAGGGGATTTATTTAAATATCTAGGACAATAAAAACATCTTATTTTTCAGTCTGCCCTCGTTTATATGCATTGTGAACTGAACCCGTGCTTTTTCTAAAGAGACACCGTGTTAACGACAGACTATAACCAAATCCCACAGATAGCGGTGAACATACCGGAGCGACACCGAAGGAGTCGTAGTGAGCGACCACGACGATAGTGGGAAGATCTTCTCCTCCGACTCCAGCCAGACGACCCTGAGGAATAAAAGCAGAGACGTTAGAGGAGAGAATAAAACAGAAACTCAGACTCAGAGGAACAAAGGGAACAGAGCGGAGTCAGAGTGGGTCGATCTGTAATCCTCAGATCAAGTTAGAAAGTCCTGACTTAACACTTCACTCGCTTTGTTTTGCACTCATTCTTAAAAGGGAATAACACAGAGGATGTCCTATGTACTGTAAAGCCCCTTCCAGGGTTCCTGCGGGTTTCACCAACTCAAATGTAAGACTTTTTAAGACCTTTTTAAGAAGACTTTGAATAGAATTTAAGACCTATTTCACAGCAAGAAAGTATGAAGGAGAATTGCTATGAAAGAAGGAATACGTCCCATAATTACTTACAAAGTAAATGTATTCACGTTCAACATAAGAACGACAACTGAACATAACAGTACACAGAACTGTGTTAGCGTGTTAGACAAAAAGTGTCTGTGTATGTGTATGTGTGTGTGTGTGTGTGTCTGTGTCTGTGTATGTGTGAGTGACAAGAGCTAGTCAGAGCTCTGCCGTCTTCGTGCTGTTGTATGATTGGTGTTTAGCTACGGTATTTAGCGTCCACAGCACCACCGTTTTTAGGGTTGACTTCATAGATCCAAACGTCGCCCGGAGGTCCCCCGGTGTTGTTGCGGGAGCTGCTGCACTAGCTAACGCTACATTAGCAAAACAAACGCTAATTTTGCAAAAGGGCTTCAAACACGTTCCCTCCACTGGTTTCAACCAAGCACTAAATTTGATGTTTTCCAACCAAATACGGTTGAACTTACACTTATATTATATATATTTATTTGTAAGTAGATTCGAAGATACCTGAGTTTCTGACTGCCGCTAGCTGAAGCTTGGTTGGTTGCTAGGTTACTAGCTGGGTGTTCTCCGATAAGGTGCCGGAGGAAACAAAGTTAGTGATTACTGGTTCTATGTTGATTTATTTCAATACAGATTGTTGGGGGGAACTGAAAGGCTCTTACCGCACTGGTTACTTTGCAGCCCGGACATTTCCCCCAAAACACATTTAGACGCGATCGAAACACAGAAGTACCTTTCAAATCCCATCATTTTTAAGGCCTTCTAAATCATATTTAAGACCTTTTTAAGGCCTTAAATTCAGATTATCAAATGTAAGACTTTTTAAGGCCCCGCGGGAGCCCTGCCCTTCAGTGGTATCAAATGAAGTTATCAATACCCCAATTAACATGATGTACAGGTTTATTTCTAATGCATTATACAGCTTTAAAGTCAAAGAAGCCTTTAGTTCATTTCCCAAACGCTTTGGCATGAAGACAGAACCTTTATTAGGCTTTATAAGAACATTCATTGAACAAAAAAAACACCTTTTTCTACAATTAAATACAGGCATGTAATGTACTACTGAAGCCGAACCATATCTAGAAACAAATATGAGTGTTTTGGATGCTTTGTAATTGATAATGATCTCGTCATAGAAGCAAACGTATATACATTTGAGCGTCAGGCCTGACAGGAAGGACCCAGATGAGGTAAATCGAGGTCCTTCCTGCTTCCAGTCAACAGCTCTAACCACTAAACCACCGTCTGCATGAGGGCTTATTCCTGTGTGCGGAAAACTGCTCGGACCTTCCTTCTTTTTACATTTTAGGTTCCACAAAAGTCTCGCAGAAACACAAATACTGAGGATAAAGACTTCACTGACACTTTCAGCAACACATAGACATGTATATATATATGTATTCAGTCATTCATAATAATCTTCACTCTGTAAATATACAAATACAGCTACTCGGTGTCTTACCGTTTCTTGTTATTTTGTATTTATACTGTTACTGACATGTCTAGTCTTATCCCCTGTGTAAAGTATTTTATATTCTTTGTTTTTAACTTTATGCTGTTATAATACCAGATTTTTCCTTGGGGGATTTATGAAGGTTTCTCTTAGTTAAGTTATTATCTTAACGTCAATAATTAAAATATAAGAACACAATACTGCTAAGAAACTACAGGAAGCAAGAGGTGAATCATTTTTGCAGAACACTATCTACAGATTATTTGACACTCCTTTGCACCTTTTTAATGATCAGCCATTTAGATTAACAACATCATTGAATGTGTAGCTTCAAAGCCAAACAACTGCACTTCTATGAGGGAGAAATCATTCTAAATAGAAACAGGAATTGCAATTAACCATCAACTTAAAACAGGCATGATTGAAGCAGACATAGGTATCACATGTTTTACGTCACAACCAGTATCATTTAAAAAACATTTTAACCAGCCGATTCAGGCACAGTTTCCCCATGAATACGATAAAGTCTCTCACCTCTAAGCTGGTGATGGCCCAGTCGCTGATGGCTTTACTCTGAGCTCCGCTGGTCACCATCTGGAAGCCGTTAGCTGTGGCCGTGTGCAGCAGCACTGCAGGAATCAACAGGAAACATATTTAGAAATGATCAAAACTGTATATAGTGCTGTTGGGAAAATACCGAATGTATTCTTCTAACATGAGTCACGTGATAACAAAGGTATCGACTGTAGCTGTGAACGTGACAGGATGTGTGATTACCTAGAAGAGCATCAGGACTGTTTGAGGCAGATGATAGCTATGTGATTAACATGATGATTCAGCCTCTATAGAGAGAGACATCAAGCATGCTCATTTCTGACTTGGAGCTAATCTGAAGTAAACATTGAATACTGCTTTCTATTCCTCCATCTTGTGACTGTGTCATCAGCAGCAAAAACACATTTACAGAAATTACAAATAGCTCAAAACAAGGCTGCCAGACTAGCTCTCCACTGTTCGAAGCGCACTCATATTGGAGTTATGCATAGAAGCCTATCATGGCTTCCAGTTGAGAAACGTCTGCAATCTCGTGTTATCACTTTTTTTTTAAATGTCCAATTTAGCAAAAAACCACTGTATTTTTATGATCAAATAGTTTACACAAGAGACGAGCACGACCATAAGACTAGACGAGCTACATCAGGCCATCTACTGGCACCTAAACCCCAGGACACATCTTCTGAGATCTTCTGTGTCTTATAGAGCTATAAAGGAATGGAACTCATTGCCAAACTACCTCGCTGACATAGAGTCCAGAGCCTCTTTCAAGAAGAGACTGAAGGGCCATCTACTAATGACCACGTACCCTTGTGAGCTGTGAACCCTAATTTAATTTGATCGCATGTTGTTGATGATATTGGTGATGTTTTTAATGTTATTAATGATGTCAGGACTTATGTCCTAAATGTTGCTGTATTATTGTTGCATTATTGTTGTATTGTTTTAAGTGTCGGACCCCAGGAAGAGTAGCTTTTGTCGAGAGCAAAAGCTAATGGGGATCCTTAATAAACATAAACTGGGTAACTCCCTCTCTTGGATATCAGCATGTGAAGGACACTGCTCAGGAACTAGTTGATGCTCTGTATGTGATGACTACTTTTTTGAGATTCTGAGAAAAAAAAGTCAGAATTTTGAGAAAAATTCAGAATTTTGAGATTTTGAGTTAAAACGTCAGATCTTTGAGATTTTGTGAAAAAAAGACCGAATTTGGAGATTTGGAGAAAATAAGACTGGATTTTGAGAACAAAGTCAGAATTTTGAGATTTTCAGAGAAAAAAAACTCAGTATTTTGTTGATGACAGGATGTATGATTACTTAAGAACCGGTATTCCTCCATCTTGTGACTGTGTAACTCCCTCTCTTGGATATCAGCATGTGAAGGACACTGTTCAGGAACTAGTTGATGCTCTGTATGTGATGACTACTTCCATTCTGGAGAGGATCACAGATACATGGATCCTGAGGTTGAAGCTCAAGCCGGGGATGAGGGAGATCTTTCTAACAAATGCAAACAATCTAAGCCCTTCAGCAGGTCCGGTGTAAAGGGAGTGATTTGTACCTTCGGCGGCCGATAGGGAGCCCTGAGAGGAGGAGGAGGTCAGGGTCTGGGTGTAGATGGACAGCAGCTCGTCGTCCTCCATGGCGAAGTACACGGGGACGACGGTCTCTGTGGCCAACATTTCCGGCTCCAGCTCCATGAACTGCTGCAGGGGACAAACAGAGGAGGGACAGCGCGTTTAAGAGAAGACACTCTGGTAGCGTGATATGCTGATGGGTTCAATAACAAGAGGGAAAATATGATTTATTTATTAAACCCTGCAAGTTCAAATCCTGAAAAGCTCTCACAAACTGAAATAAGACGCCGAGCTGGACGAATACTACTAAGCTTTATTTCGACAGTTGATTATTATTGTGGTCATTCTCAAGACAGTGCTGCAGAGTTTGAAGTGACAGTGGTATAAATGACGTTTATATATTGTGTTGCATGTTGATTTCAATCGTCAGTGTTTGGTTAAGTTAGTTCAGTGGCAAACGGGAAAGAAGCTGCAATAGAGAATAACTAAATAAGTAACTCATTAAATCCCAACAATCTGCTTCTCAGATAGATTTACAATCCTACTCAAAGAAGTAGTCACAGTGTGCTTTAGTGAGACATTATATATATCAGGGTCTCTGCAGGAATCCTGAAGTCAAAGGTAATTCCTTTCTAGATCCTTTCCATACATTTTAAGACCTCATCTCCACTTGGAGTTTTAACCGGTTACCTTGGCGACACACTTTACCTCACATTGACTATATACAGTATTGATTGTCCTTCCTCCTTATCTTCCAACCATTTGGACGCAGACTTGCATTTCCCCATAACGATGTTGTTTAGCAACCGGCGTAAACGGAGCTTCGCGCTATCAAGCAGTGAGCGTGCGATGTCCTGTTCAGATGACGTCAAATCCAACGGGATGCCATCAATAAACTACACAGAATCACACTACACACCTACGCCATGATTACATTCAGGCAGACTGTAGAATACAACCTCTTTGGACCATTTAGATACTTATTGAACACAAGCTACAAAATGTAACACCTTGGAAAATGCCCTTTAATACTTTTTAATAGCCTTCATTTTCGCTAAATTGATTTATCAACTTTTAATACTTTTTAAGACCCCGCGGCAGGGCTCGAGCTTAAGGACGTCCCGGAGCCGGAAAAAATAGTGTCGGGGAGGATACAAAATAATTTTGGTACGAGAGTTACATCGTTTCATTCTTCAGAAGGTTCGGTTTGCGTTCACACGGGAAAAACTCAAACGGACTATAAACTTTAAACACAAGTCATGTGCACGGAAATGCTGTTCAACCATTGGTCAGACATTAAGGGGGTAAAAACGCAAATCCCGGCCATTTCTACCGGAGCCTCCGCCATGGAGCATCGGCACTTTCGGCAGGTTATTCTCATGCTGCTGTTAATCTGGAGATCAACAGACACTAGCGGCCCGCGCATATGATTATATAATCAGACAACGTCCGTTAACAAACATTATAACATATAATGAGAGACGTTCTGCAGCTACTTTTATGTAGCTGACGGAGAATTGTTACTTTACACGACACTGTTCAACACTTCATTCTGCTTCACTCTTTAACTAAACAACCGCGGATGTCTTGAAAGAGTCTTTCGCTAAAGATTTTGAAGACATCCGCGTTCTTGTGACGCGTAAATACTACGCTTCCTATGTTTTGGTTGGACTGCGTTCACACCAGCAATGAACCGCTCCAGAGTTCGCAAGCAAGCGCTCCGAGACCACCTATTTTAGAGGACCAGAGTCCGGTTGTTTAGTTCACTTCAGAGGTCTCGGACTGCGTTCACACCGACCCAAATGAACCGCACCAAGCGGCTAAACGCACCAGGGTTCGATTCAACCGGACTATACAAGGCAGGTGTGAACGCACCCTATATTTGTTGAAAGTCTCCTGAAAAACAAGCTTTTTTTTGCTTGTTTCTCCAAAGTTGCCTATCCCAGTTTTAAATATTGCGACACCACCTTTGCACATTTTCTTTAAAAAATATTCCCACATACCACAGGTCGCCCTCACTGCCAAATGCATAATTTCAAAAGCTCTTCTGGAGGTACAGCGAAGCGTATCCACAGAGTACCGCACTGTGACATCATAGCGTTTTACACATTTAAAGTGGAAACAGTTGAGGATGAAGGGAGCAGAAGGCTTTGATGTGTAGCATTAAAACTTGTTATCACCTGAACTATGTCCTGCGGCATAGCAGACATGTTCTTGGGCAGGATGATGACCACAGCTCCTGCTGACTGTCGAAGCGCTTTCTGATACTCTTCATAGGAAAAGTCTGCAAGCCGCATGATTACACAGCGGCGACTTAATACCTCTGCTTCTACAGTACGAGCCTCCGTATTCAGGATGGCATTCCTGGTACCTGAGGGAAAGAGAGACAGAAAACATCAGTTTTAATACGATAACTCCCGTCTTTGTGTCAGCAAGAAAGGGCAGAAGTGGTTGAGCCTTTTGAAAGTGCACAAAAGCTGTTTAACTATGTTGAATCAAAAGCCACTTTTTCTACAGACTAATGCTGGGGGCTTACAAAATGTGTTGAGTCTGAAAGCTTTCATTAATCTTCATCAAAGGCTTGCCACAGAAACAGCCAGTACAACTTATCATACTTTAAAAAATGTGACCAGTTAGATAGTCATCCCTATTGGAAGTTATTAACCTTATTGTATTGGAAAAGATAAATGGTACCCTTTATTTTATTCTTGACAAAATGTTCCATCACTATATCTTTGGTTATAAAATATAGTCCTCTTTAAACCTTATGATATACAAATCCCACCAGGTGTGAAGAGAGGTCAACCGATTCTGTAAGACTTGTGTCTCTCACATTTGGGTATGACTACTTGGAATGCAATTTGGCTAAAAAACAAAATGATTAATTAACAAAAGAGTCCAAGAAAAAATATAAGGAAACATTATATATACATAAATAATGTATAAAGACATTTAAATGTGTTTTCTTTAATGTTATGTGTATACCTACGTGTGTCTTTTAAATTAATGTACCTATTGATCTGTTTAATGGTAAGTATTATTAAGTTAATTGGTATCATAACCCTGGATAGCTTCTAGTAAATTCGCTAGCTTCGGAAAGAAAAATAATTGCTAGCTTGATATTACCATCTAGCAATGCTAAGCTACATTAGCAGCTAGTTGGCCAATGCTAGCCTGCACGCCGTCATTGAAAGGCTACTATAGGCACCTTAACGTGAGCTGAGAAACGATGTAGTCACTGGATACCTTAACCGTATAATGATTACATTAATTCTCGATTGATACAATAGATAAACAGCCTCCTCACCGTAGGGTTGACCCTGCAGGTCGTACTGCTGCATGCGGTAAACCGTGAACTCATGAGCCGCATCGGCCGGCAGCGGAGACACCAGGATCAGCACGGCGGGGATAAACACGATGAAGGTGAGGGGGAAAGAGGATTTAAACATGTTGTCGAACACTTCACTGGCCTCCTCAAACATCCTGGCGGTTTTATGGAGCCACAGATAAGAATAGAATTAGAATTTGTCGTCGCTGTTAGCAACTGACAGCCTGGGAACCAGTTGAGCTAACGGCTAACAAGAGGAGCAACTGACAGATGTTTGTAATCAGGCAACTAGTAGGACAACTAAAGAAAAACGCAGCAACATATCGTGGCTTAATGCAGCCATTAACAATATTGCCTTTTGTTTAGTGTTTTTAAATATAGTTCAATGAACGCTTATAAAATACATAATGATATCGAATATTATATATTAAACCAATCTACGGTGTTTCAGGGATCTTTTAGGACAGCTATATTTAAGGCCCATGTTTTACCAAAGATGCTATTTAAGTGAAGACGCCGCATTGACATGACTGCTTAATAAGAATGGCGTAAAGAAAATGTATTTTATATTGTTCTGCTAATATTACGTATTTAACAGATAACAAACATATTAGCATTATGAATTTAAGTATCTAGTTCTTAAGAGAATGTAGGATGATTTTATGTCAACAAAAATGACAGTTTAACTGATGTTAACGCTCTGTGATGCCAGATCTCGCGATAGTTTGATGCTGAGGCTGAACAATCAATGACATTTGTCTGAAAAACGAAATGTTAGTATAGAAATATCCTAAAAATATGTGGCTGTGAAAGATAGGTCCATTATCTATTTTAGTCCCTCAAAGGGCAATGAATCGGTCATAATCTGTAGTAATAATCTGATACACGACTACCAGTGCGGCTTCTCTCTCCTTTTTAAACCGTCTCTGGTGTCATTTAAAGACACTAGATGGCGCTGTGCACCACAGAAATGATCCATGATGGAGACATTACATTACATGTTACTTGTTAGACGCTTTTATCCAAAGCGATTTACATACTCAATACTGTGGGAAATCCCCACAGGAGCAATTTGGGGTGAAGTGTCTTGCCCAGGGACACAACGACATGCTGACTGCAGTGGGGTTTGAACCTGTGCTCCCCTGATCCGAACACCACCGCACTAGTCCACTGCGCCACAGCCTCCCTGAGACAGTGTTGTTACATCTTTTACTTTTTTTTAATTATATTAACCGACTGCACCGAACAAAATGGGTCTGATGTCCTTTTGTTGTCAATCACAAGATCTTACAATGTAGTAGAGGCCTATATTCACACCTGATATTACAATGTAGTAGAGGCCTATATTCACACCTGATATTACAATGTAGTAGAGGCCTATATTCACACCTGATATTAATCAAAATGTTATGCTTCACAAAGCAACAGGTTGATAAAACCCTCATATATAACCCCGCAATAACAAGCACATGACCCCACTCCTTCAGGTTACAGGCATTAGTGGAGAAATCATGCATTTTTTGATACAGCAGCAGGATATTCTGTAAAACTAGCCGAAACGTTGACTTTGGGATGCTTTGAACAACACAAAAGACATTATCCATTAACAATAAGGATTATTATCATTATTGAAAAAATAAATTGTTTAAATGGAATTTATTTTTTGGTAGAGACCATGTACAAAAACGTACATAACCGGGTTATAAAAAGAAACAGAGCATTAGGCTTGGTCACGGGAAAACCAATTTGTTTCCAGATCTTTTGACCAAAGTTTTATATCATAAAAAGACAATAAAGAATTAAAAGCCTGAGTCCAGTTGGGAGGAGCTGGAAATCAAATCCCCTCTCCCTGCCCCCCCCCCCCCCCCCCCCTCCTGAGGTTGCTAAGTGGCAGATTAATGCTGATATGATGTCTTGCCATCTCACTTAATGGACCTTGGCGTCATTATTTCCTCTTATATGAGTAATGCCTGTGGCCCGGCTGCTGAGAGACACCGAGCAGCAAAACGAAACACAAAACCAATTTGGCGTGGACGTTGAAACTCCTTGTAATGATTTCACATTACAGAGGAATTATCATTTGCAGATCCGCTCACATGACCCGCTGTCTGGCTGAACAACAGGAGAACAAGAGGGAAATAATGTGCTTGTTTTTGCACGGTGGCGTGAGTCACATGAATATAATTGCTTAAAATGTCCTAACATCGTTTAAATCACATGTCCACGTCTTTCAGTTGATGTTGCCTCAACCAAAAACCAAAACAGTACTCAAAGGCACAAACACAGTGCTGCAAAGTAACTAAATACATCTATTAAAGTACAGTACTTAAGTGTAATTGAGTGAGGAGATTGCACTTTACTTGAGTATTTTCATTTTCTGCCCCTTTATACTTTTATTCTACTTCAAATCAGAGGCTTATGAAGTTATTTTTACTTCATGCAGTTAATAGTAACTTTTGACATAAAAAGCATTATGATTGATAGATATTTCCATTTTATGCTACTTTAGACTTTTGCAGAGGCTAATATAGTACTTTTTAGGACAATTATTTGACACTTGTAATGAATAGATAATCTTCACACACACACACACACACACACACACACACACACACACACACACACACACACACACACACACACACACACACACACACACACACACACACACAATGCATCTGCTGTTTAGTTCCTGGGAACGACCTGAATCAGAGCGGCCTTTGCTCCTGACCCCCGTCCACATAAAACACTTTCTCTGTGTGACCACACAAAAGGTGTGTGTGTGTGTGTGTGTGTGTGTGTGTGTGTGTGTGTGTGTGTGTGTGTGTGTGTGTGTGTGTGTGTGTGTGTGTGTGTGTGTGTGTGTGTGTGTGTGTGTATATACCGTGGATTAAGAGAGATTAGCCACCTAGCAGTAAGTATGTGTAGCATGCTTCTGTAAGTACTCATTCTCAGAGGATGCTGTCATTTTCTCAGCACAGCAGCAGGTTGCTCAAACACACACTCGAGTGTTTAAACCCACAGGGTCACAATCACAGAATACCAGACGAGTACTGTAATGTATGTGGCATTAAATCTCTACACAAAACTCCACTATCTGCTCACAGTGGAGGTCTCTCTGAGTCACTTCTTAAAACACCACCCGCTATATAATCCCCTTGTTAGTGAGCAATAGCTTGACAATTACTGATGTGCAGAAATGAACAAATTCATCTTTTAGAAACAACTCTTTTTAGTGTTAACCGGTCATGGTGCAAAATGCTCAGAAACCCCAGAGTTTTCCACTTCAGTTCTTGTACTTTATTTAGGTATTTCCACTTTATTCTACTTTATACTTCTACTCCATTTTAGAAGCCAATATTCAACTTTTTATTTGACTGCTTAAGTTACTTTACAGATTCTGATTATTAGCTAATACAAAATATACATCAACTAATAGATTGGCATTGACATATGATTATAGGTTAAGATAAGTCAAAGGTTTAACATGTAGTTTTCTTAATTTGTCTCACCTGTGATCAACAATAATGCATTATCATCAACCAGTCATTCAATACATGACTCTGAAATGGGCCATTTCACATCACAAGTACTTTTGAATCCTCTTGCTGCCAATACTTTTACTTTTTTAAAGTACTTCTGAATGTAGGACTTGTGAACAGAGTATTCCTACAATGTAGTGTCAGTGCTTTTTCATGAGTATAAGATCAGAATACTTCCTTCAACATTTAAACACTAACTTTAACCATAATGACAATGATTTATAATCTGCTTAGAGCACAGTATAATAACAGTTATAAGCATATTAGTATGTATTGTGTAATCTTTTAGTCAAAACAAAATACATATTTATGAATACAAACCCCCTGAAACTGAAGATTTATTTTTGAGTGTTTTAGCTGCAATTGCTCCCTTTTTTCTTTTTTATATTATTTTATATATATTTTGGACTGTTTTATTTCTTGTCTTAATTTCTCTTATGTACATTGCCTTGTGTTTTTTATGCTGCTGCAACGCAAACATTTCCCATGGGATCAATAAAGTATCTATCTATCTATCTATCTATCTATCTATCTATCTATCTATCTATCTATCTATCTATCTATCTATCTATCTATCTATCTATCTATCTATCTATCTATCTATCTATCTATCTATATCTATCTATCTATCTATCTATCTATCTATCTATCTATCTATCTATCTATCTATCTATCTATCTATCTATCTATCTATCTATCTATCTATCTATCTATCTATCTATCTATCTATCTATCTATCTATCTATCTATCTATCTATCTATCTATCTATCTATCTATCTATCTATCTATCTATCTATCTATCTATCTATCTATCTATCTATCTATCTATCTATCTATCTATTTATATAAACATGACCTGCTAACAATGCTATATCAGATGACATCTTCCTTTCAAAATAAAACATACATTCTTCTTCTTGCCCCCCCCCCCCCCCCCCCCCCCCTGCTGATTTACTGTTGATTTGCGTCCACAGGTTCGGGGGAAGCAACATTACCCGGCTCCTTCTACGCACCAGGGGAATTGATTTAGCCATCATTTTCATTAAGGCCGGTGGAAATAAGACAAAGGAAAAGAGAGAGGAGGCCATAGGCCGAGCTGCAGCCCGTTAGCCTCCTTGGTTGCGCGGGGCAACAGTCAGATAATGGATGGCGAGGCTTGGTGGAGCCAGCCGCTCCATTAGGTTTTGTTAATGCGGTCAGAGACTCATCCGCCTTCAGATCCACTTTCAGAGACGCTCACTCACGCTGGATCTCTCTCTCTGTCTATTGTCTTTCTGTTGAAGGAAGACTTCTCCCTCAGAGCCGTCATCTGTGCAGCAATTAGAGATACTGTACGCACCCGATGATGACTTGCAACTTGAAAATACATGAGGCTGAATTTGATTTGAAACATGACTTTTCATGTTAATTTTTTTGGTTAATATATTTCAAGTTGGATCCCATGTATTCCTTTAACAGCTCATCTTAAACTCACACCTTACACCTTTGTATTTTTCCGACCCTAATCCATGTTTTGATGCCTTAAAGGGCCCATTGCATGCTGTTATTACCCGTCTCCTTGTGTGTTATGAAGGTGTCCATGCATGTAAACAGTCTGCAAAGTCAAAACCCCTCAAAGTACACCCTGTAGGGAGTAAAACTCTAACACAGAAAAGACCTCCCCCAAAAGCCTTGTTGGAGATTTCTCAGTTTCCATTGTTTACTTCCTGCACCGCGTGACGTAGCTGCACCGCGTGAC